TTCCTCGTCAGCAGGTCAAGTATTACCCTGGCCACCAGGTCAAGACAGACCGCTAACCAGGCTGGATACAACATGCAATGGCCATAACCTGGTTCAAGATGTTTCAGCTCCGAAACAAGCCATTACAAATGTTTACTCCAAATATGTAGCTGTTGTCTCACCCCTAGTACTAGCATAACAGCTACCCTATGAAGCAATGCTGCCCCTGCATTTACATGACGTGGGTCAACCTTTTTTCAGAAATAATTCTGCTTTGAAGTCATAAATCCCAAATTTGCAGAGTCTGTCCACACCCAGAAAAGCAAAAGTAGACTGATGTATTAATTTAACATACCATTGAACTGGTTTCTTGCACTTCTAAATGGCTCTTGGAGTTGTACACCAGGTGAAGAACACACAACTTCTCCTGCTAAAGACAGAAATCAAGGCATTAAAACGATAACATATTCCTATGTCATTTAATTTGTGCAACTATCAGAAGCAAGCAACTGCCATACCATAGGCAATACATCTCTCAGATAAAGATGATCAGGCAGCAACTTCCCCAAATAAATCAACTTCTGGTCCTCTTCAGGCTTTGAAAGAAAACAAAAAATATGTTGGGTTACTATTCTCTCAAACGCATGCAAATGCTGAGCAGCCAGGCATGACAGCAGCTGAGTATACAAAAGCCCAGAGGCCCAACTCTTGTCAAAGGCATACCAAAAAAGAAACAACAAAAAACACCCCCAGCATAAATACATCCAAATCCTTTGCACACAATTCTCTTTTGTTTCAGCGTGGGATGATGCAACCAAACCCGCTGATTATTTATGTGCAAAATTGATGTTGGAGATTCAGAAACTCGCACAGAAACATAGCAACTCCTACAAAACAGGAATGAGTTGTCCGTCCATCGGGTGGGCCAGAAACCTGACAGGAGGACTTTCTCTTCCTGTCTGAGAAGCAGAGGGATCCCGTGTGCCCGCAGCTCTCCCAGCCGCAGCAAGGGGATTCGCACCTTGTTTTCTGCCCGCCCCTTTCCCAGAAGCCCAGCACCGAAGCACAGGCTTCAACGCCCAAAGTCCTCCCCTGCTGAGCACTGACACCCCTCGGCCACAGGGACGAGGCGGCGCCCCGCGCAGCGCCACGCCCGGCTCAAACCGCCAAACCCCAGGAAAACCCGCTGCAGCACTTCAAGTAACCGGGGCCGCCCGGGCCGGCCCTCCCTCACCGGCGCCTCAGGAAGCAGGCGACGCAGCCGGGCCTTGAGCTGCCGCACGGTACCGGCGGGGGCGGGGCCGCCGGCG